GTTATCGGTTCCCCCTTTCTACCCCATCTTCCCTCCACCCTCCAGGTATCGCCAAGCTCACCACTGGTCCTGAAGGGATGATCTGTCCTGGATTCCGTTTCCGGTTCCTATCTGTACCAGTGTATATCCTCTGGTCTAGCCAGATTTGTTTTTTTTGTTTTTTTTTCTAGCCAGATTTGTAAGGTAGAATTGGTATCATGATAGTGGTGGGGAGGAAGCATTTAGGAACTAGAGGAAAGTTGTATGTTTCATTGTTGCTACATTGCACCCTGCCTGGCTGGTCTCCTCTCTGCGAACCTTCTGTGAGAGGATATCCAGTTGCCTACAGATGGGTCTTGGGTCCCCAATCTGCACTCCCTCTCATTCACAATGATTTGATTTTTTGTTCTTGATGCCTGATACCTGATCCCTTCGACACCTTGTGATCACACAGGATGATGTGCTTCTTCCATGTGGGCTTTGTTGCTTCTGAGCTATATGGCCACTTGTTTGCTTTCAAGTCTTTAAGACCCTAGACGCTATATCTTTTGATATCCGGGCTCCATCAGCTTTCTTCACCACGTTTGCTTAGCACCCGCATTTGCTTATGCACTCGCTTTGTCTTCAGCTATCGTGTCGGGAAGGTGAACATCATGGAATACCTATTTGTTCTATTTGTTTAAAAGAACAAAGTGTTCTTGCATTGAGGGAGTACTTGAGTGGAAGCCCAATGTCCATCTGCTACCTTAATACCACGTGGGTCCCTTTATTGAGACATAACTATCAGGCTGATTGCATCTGGTGTGGGCAGATACAACTGAAATAGCCTGGTGTAATATGCTTTATGTCTAGTGAAGGGTCACTGCATGGTGGAAAGAGTTAAAAAACCTGACTACTACCAGAAAGGCTGATGGTTTGACCCTGCCCTGGCCCCCCAAGCAGGTCTCTTGGCGCCCTGTCCTGGCCATCTTCCTTCTGCAAGATGCTAACCCGTGAAGCAGCTCTCCTCTGAGATGTGGGACTGCTTCTGGTCGGAACAGACTCTATGGTGACCAGACAACAGCAAATATGTTTTCCGTCTTCAGTCCTGTAGTTACGTATTTGACTCTTTGTGGCAGTTGGAAGATGGGAGTTAAGAACTGTTATTAATTCAGAAAAGAAGTAAATGCTTATCTGCAGGAACTGTTGGGTGCTGTCAACACTGTGCGCCACCCGCCACCCTCTCAGCTGTTCTTCGGGTTGAGCCCAGTGTTGCAACCACTGTGTCCATCCAGATTCTCTTGTTTGCTGCACTCCTGCCTTACTAATCATGGTGTCTTTCCCAGAGCACCTGAGACAAAGTCTCACTGCTAGGAGCCTTCCAGCTGTGCTTCGTCTAAGACAGATTTGGTTGTTCTTTTGGAAGTGCTAGCTCCAGCCAGGCAAAACACTTAATAGGCATTTAGTTGAAATACAGTGTAGCATTGCGGGGTGTTTCTGGAGAAGTTTCTAATAATTAATTGCTGTTACCTGGAATTTGTTGCATAGCACACATTAATTAAATGTGGTTAATATAAGACATATTGTAGTGCACGTGATGAAGATAGAGTGGCTGATGGTCTCTCTGTGATGTGCTATTTTAGCAAGTGATCCGCTTATAGCAGTGGTTCGCAACCTTCTTAAGGCCACGACCCTTTATTGCAATTCCTCATGTTGTGGTGAGCCCCAACCATAAAATTATTTCGTTGCTACTTCATAACTGTAATTTTGCTGTTGTTATGAATCATAATGTAAATATTTGATATGCAGGTTGTATTTTCATTGTTACATGTTGAACATCATTAAAGCATAGTGATTAATAAAAAACGATGTGTAATTATATATTGTGAAATACTGATTTCTAATTACAAATAAATGAATTTTTGTCTTGAAGCATGGTGTAGCATGGGTAACAGTCTTAATATAACAACAGTAAACTACATTGCTACATTTTGCGACAGTATGCATAAAAAGCCATTGTCAGTGGGAAGGTTGAAATAGAGGAGTGATGTCTCAGTTCCTAAGACCGTTGGAAATAAGTGTTTTCTGATGGTCTTAGGCAACTCCTGTGAAAGGATCGTTGGACCCCCAAAGAGGTCTCGACCACCGGTTGAGAACCACTGGCTCAGTCTCTAATTTTGGTCTTGAAGCTTTCATTTGCTACTTTATGACCCACTCCAAGTTATTTTTCTTGTGTCTCCCCTTCTTGCTTGATTGAATGGGAGCAGGCACGTTCCTCAGAATTGTTTTGTGGGAAGTGAGAGAGAGACTGTGTCATCGACTTAGCACAGCCTCACCCACAGCAAATGCATACGTGTCTCCGAGATGCTCGGGAAGTCTCTCTGAGACCTTCCCCATCTTTGCTTGGGGCGTGAGTCTTCCACCCTTCCCTTCTGTTGGTCTGTTCTATTCCATAGCCTTATGAAGTTCTGAATTCCAAATCCATCTCCCATTTTCAATAAACTTAAATCTGGAAATAGTTTAAGAATGTAGTACAGATGGAATGCTTTTATCCTCCTTTTTCTAAGAGAATTTCTGATTTTGCTCTTTTTTTAAAAAAAAAA